CCAGCCATGGCCTCCAACCTACCAGCGATGGCCTCCAACCTACCAGCCATGGCCTCCAACCTACCAGCGATGGCCTCCTACCTACTAGCAATGGTCTCCAACCTACCAGCAGCCATGGCCTCCAACCTACTAGCAATGGCCTCCAACCTACCAGCGATGGCCTCCAACCTCCCAGCCATAGCCTCCAACCTACCAGCGATGGCCTCCAACCTACCAGCCATGCGATGGCCGCCAACTAACAGCGATGGCCTCCTACCTACTAGCTATGGTCTCCAACCTACCAGCCATGGCCTCCAACCTACTAGCAATGGCCTCCAACCTACCAGCCATGCAACCTATACCAGCGATTGCCTCCAAGCTATACCGGCGATGGCCTCCAACCTATACCAGCGATGGCCTCCAACCTATACCAGCGATGGCCTCCAACCTACCAGCGATGGCCTGCAACCTATACCAGCGATGAACTCCAGCCTATACCAGCCATGGCCTCCAACCTATACCTGCGATGGCCTCCAACCTATACCAGCGATGGCCTCCAACCTTTACCCGCCATGGCCTCCAACCTACCAGCGATCCTCCAACCTACCAGCGATGGCCAGCGATCCTCCAACCTACCAGCGATGGCCTCCAACCTACCAGCCATCCTCCAACCTACCAGCGATGGCCTCCAACCTACCAGCGATGGCCTCCAACCTACCAGCCATGGCCTCCAACCTACCAGCCATGGCCTCCAACCTACCAGCCATGGCCTCCAACCTACCAGCCATGGCCTCCAACCTACCAGCTCCCCATCTCCGACCACGTCGACCCGAGCAGCTCCGACCCTCGTGCCAAGCGCAGGCGGAGCTGACGCACCGCCTCGGCCGAGACGTCCAGCAGCAACACGCCAGCCTGGTGGTGGTTGGTGTCGGTGTCGCGGGGCGTTTTCAGATGGCTTTCGGGGGACTCGGCGGAAACCTGAGGTCTTTTGCTAGGTTTAAGCCTCACTGGTTTAGTACCAAAAATCTGTTCTAAACCAAAAGGACTCAAAAGGACTGAGGATCTGGTTGAGTACCCCTTTTCGGACAGTCAGGGGAGGGTGCGAAGACCTCAGACCTGGAGGGTTGATGCTACCTGGACCTTCGAAGTACTCCGTCATGTCCCATTTTCTAGGGTACTTAGGAGGGTTCAGGTAGCCGGTTTCTTCATGTCTTTGACCGACACTGGCGTGTGGAAGACGTTCTTGATCTACACCCTATGCTTTTGGAGTTCGCGCCTGATTCTTTAGGCTTAGCACAAGTCGTTTGCTAGTCGTTTGCCCTCGGTGTGTATCCTTTCAGGTAGCAGGCAGCCTTCTGCCCTCAGTGCAGCGGGCTCTCTTCAGAGCATCGGAGTATGTGTCCACTCTTAAAACCCTGAGGCTTTTGTTGAAAATTGCTTGGTCCCAATCGCGCACGGTTTTCAGGTTTCTGGATGAGTGCGACGTGGAGAAACTAACAATGGCTCTCTCCAAGCTGAATCGGCGGAAGCTGATCCAGCGGAATCAGACTATCCCAATGAGTTTCATCTCGTTCGGCGCGCTGCGAACGGATAGGGTCCGTTCGTACTCCGTTAGGCAGTGCTGTCGTTGGGAGAGAAACCACCAGGTCTCCATCACGGGGTTCCGCCCAGCGCGATCCAGGCCAACCACTATAAAGAGTACGGGTACAAGTCCAGTCGGACCAAGTTAAACCTCCTGAAAACCGAAAAATGAAATGCTGGTTTTGCATTTTCCCGGACCCAGTCAAATGAGGTCCCTAAGACCTGTAGGGGTACCCCATAATATTTTTAATATATTGTATACAATAAGAATCCGTGTGGGTCCTGGCCGGGCTCGGAATTTTGCCTCTTCGCAGGGGTCAGAGCCGAACCAAACTGTAGTTGAGGGCCCGGATTGGTCACGACTGCTTACGGAAGACTCAAAGGCATTCCAAGCCTTAGGCTGACCAAGAAAGTTCTGGTTCCTTCATCTTCCATGCCTGTGATCCACAGGGCGGCTGCAACTCACTGCAGGACGCCAAGCTTCTTTGTTCACTGATTCAAAAGAAAAACACACTCCACCATTGAGACTTCCTCACCCTTTGGTGTTCTGCACGCGTGTTCGCACGGCATCCTTCGGTCGACGTGGCGTTTCGCTGCATCGGACCCTTGACCCGGCGACCCGCGACCGGCGCCTTCCGGAGAAGTCCGCCGTCGCTCGTGCGGGAGGCGCGGTACTGCTGCCGCATCCATTGGGTGAAGGCGGCTTGCGACATCTGACAGAAGCAGACATCGTCAGTAGTGGTGCCCTATAGTGGTGCCTGGAAACACCACCAGTTCGGTGGACCTGTTCTTTTTGTAGTGTAAAACCCGTAGTTTGGTTGACCTATAGTTTGGTTCTTTGGGATGAGAAAACACCATGAAAACAGCGGAATCTGGAATCCCAAGGTGAGCTTCAGAATTATTCATAGAGCTGGAGAAAGACCTCGATCTTGCCTAATTTGGTGGCTTTCCCTAACCTGCATGATTTCTCCACTTGCTTTCACACAGGAGTTGAATTCTAAATCCCTGGAAGGTCTTCCGTGAGATGTTTTCATCCTGGTCTGGTACAGATGCGAAGGTCTTAATTCAATATATAATTCTAGATGTCGGTATATATAAATGACTAAATGCAGGATCATCTAATAATAGTAGGTAGCATCCGAATAGTTATTTCGGCGTGTCCTCTCCTGCATCTTGTAGCCCAACAAAACCGCCATAAGTGGGCCTTCGGTATCAAAAAAGAAACAAAGTCCGCATTGCACCGAGTGTGTGACTATAACCACGGCAGGGTATACCAAAAACATATCCTCACCATCCCAAGTCCCCCACGTCCCCCACGTCCAGAACACGGGTGAATGCACCTGCGGTCGGTTGAAAGCTCGGCACCAAACGAGGTGCACATTCCAAGCGAACTCTGGGATTGGCATCCGGTACCATCGCAGCGCCTGCCGGGTTGGCAGAATCTGATTTTTCAGAGTCTCCCTGCTTTCTCTGGAAAACAGAGGCTCGAGGCTAGCCTTTTTCCGTTCTTCTTGAGTGGAGAAACCAATTCCCCAAAAAAGTTTGGGGCAGGTGACCCACTTCTCAGGGTCGGGAGCAGCTCTCAAAGTAGTATCCACTAGAAGGACACCAGGCAATTTTGAGACCCCACGGCATGCTTCACTTGGATTTGGGGTCCATCTGAGCAAATGTATAGACATATTATACATATTCCGACAACAAGCGGATTCACTTACGAAAATACCAAATCCATCCAAATCCCCACACCTCCGCCATTTCGGAAACTGAGCAGGGATCCCACGCCTTGGGCAATGCCACTCGCCACCCGCCAGTTGAGCGATAACCCTTGAGGCCCTTCAGAGGTTCAATCCATGTGTGAGCAGGCTTTTTTCATATCTGACATATCTACCAGCACCATTCCAAAGGGCTATTAGATGGAAAACACGCATCTTCAAGGGGGTCTATAAACCACCCTTTGGGTGGTGCTGGTAAGAGATTTTAAGCTGTCTAGAATGACAGAAACAGGACGACGGACGACTTCCTTTCGGTCTGTGCGAACTGGTCGAACCACGACGGGACGTGTTTCACGCGTGAATCACGCGACGAGTTGGGAGAACCGTGCGGGTTTGACGAGGTCCAGTCCGGCAGACTGGGTTTGGCCCAGTGTGACAGAGCGGCTGAGTGAGTTCAGCCGTGGCATCCTCCAACCTACTAGCGATGGCCTCCAACCTACTAGCCATGCAAGTTCAGTGGAAAAAGACATAGGACATGAAGATGCAAGAACCCGAACGTAATCAGAACCACGAATCTGCCATCGCTTTTTTCTAGCAGACGTGCGGCATGAACCTCAGTTACGAGGTTCGGGAAGCAAAAGAATCGATGTTGGGCAAATTTCACAGGTCGCAGGTCAATATTCCAAGGGATTGTTGGGGACTTGATTTCGACCCAAAAACCATCTCGCCTCATTCTGTCCCTTCTTGGCCCACTCTGGCGCGGCCTGCCGTCCTGGGCCCCAAAGACCACCCGACGGCAACCCTGGGCAATCGCCCGTCTTTCGGGTCGTTTCTTGCACTACCTACAGAGGTTAAGTGACCTTATAGGACCTTACAGGGTACCTATAGGATAGCCTATCGGGTTCAACCGCATGCAGCTATGTCTGGCATGTTCAGCATTCTGACATCAGTCACCGCGTGAGATCCAAGAAAACGCGACCCGCTCGACTCTCCTGCATTGCTGGTCTTCGATCGAGTCGACCTCGGGTCGCCTGGAACACGCGTTTTTCGGTCTCGACCAAGGGGACTTGGCTGTCGGCGGTTGGGCGAAGGTGTTGAACTCGCCCAAATGGCAAAACGTCCGGTCCAACGATCCCCAAAAGGAACGTGCGAGAAAACTGAAGTATGGGGGCAAAAGAAAGATCGTCGCACTGGACTTCTAGCGTCATTCCCATCCAAAAGTCCTATATATAATCTTCTGTCCTAGAATCAAACCAGCGTCATCGACGTACAAGCTTGCAGCTTGCATATATAGATCCTCCCTCCATCTTCTACCTGATTCGACATATATCTTAAAACATCACCCCCGTAGACGCCCTTTCTGCCCACCTCCTGCGCTGCTCGCTGTTCCCCTTCCAGGCTCCGCGTCGCGCTGGTCGTAGGCGCGGCGCCGGAGCGGATCACCCAGGACGTCGTAGGCCTCACGGTGACGCGTCGCTCCGGTCACCGGGTGGACGGTGGACGTAATTTGAAGGCGCCAATTTCGCTTGAAGGCGCCTCGAAGGGCAGACGCTTGGCCAATGGAGCTCGATTGTTGTTGTTGTTGTTGTCGTCGTTGTTGTTGGGGCGGAGGGGAAATGGCACTTATCGATTTTGTAGCCAAACTCATACCTTTTGTTCTTCGGTGTTCATCATCGACCGCCGCTCCACTCCAATGGCACTGCTCGCACTCCGGAGGCGCCAATAGAGTCATAGGGAACAAGACACTTGGGTTTTTGTTTGAATATAGGAGTTTTTGGGGAGACTACCACCCATCAGGAGTTTGGTTGTTTTTTGTTGGTCGTCTTCAGGGGTCTGGTCTCCCTAGTTAAACAAGTTGATCTGTTTTTTGGTACTTCGGATGGTCACAACGGTCGATTTCCGACCATCACAGAACCACGACCCGACGACGCGGGGCCCCGACTCTCTCACCTCCGTGCGACCACACGGACCTCCCTTAGGTTCCGGATCTCGGTGCGGCTGTCCTGGAATTGAAGTACCGCTGTCCTGTTGGGGGTCCAATTGAAAAACCCTTTTAGAGTCCAACTTTGAGGGAGTCGAGATCGACTGCCACACCGACATGGCAGGCTGTGGACTCTTACAAGCCCTAGGCAGCCCGTTTCGGGCTCCAAACACCTTCTAAGAAGGTGGGACTGGGGTGGGTGCCAGGAGGGTCCAAATACCTTCTGAGGTCCTCGGAGCCCTAGGGAAGGTTGAACAACCTGATTGACGCAGACATGGAGACATGGCCGTGTCCTATCACCTCAGCGGACTTCCCCACCGTGGAACACACGCTCTCCGTGGAGATCCGCGATCGCGATCCGATCAGCCGATCGGCCTCCTGAAGCCGTTGGAACTTCCTTTGGTCCCCCTTGACGTCCGGGTGATAGCGTCGAACTCCTTGCAGGTAGGCCTGGTGTGACTGGAAACGACAAAGCCGAAGAGGATGGGATGGAGGGCTCTCCCTTCGACCACAACAGGTAGTCTTAGATGATGCAAGTGGATCTGGTGGGCTGTTCATGTCAAGGGGTCCAAGGAGTGTTAAGGGAACTCCCTGTAGTTCCTTCGCTTCCTGTTAGTTTCAAAGAGCTTGGATACCCCAGTTTCCTCCAAACCACCAGCTAACTATAGATTCCAAAACGGTTCTTTTTGCAGAAACTTCAAATGCTTCAGAAGTTGAAAATCCCTAAAGTCCTTATTGATCTGGTATACTCTATTCCTGGAAGTATTGATCTATACCTGGATCCTCCTTTGGGCGGAAAAAAGTGCCGGACCTCAATCCGGCAAATTTTTCCGCCGGATTCCGAAAAAAACCGCCGGAGACCTGAAAAAACATCCGGATCCAAGATTCTGAAAAACAGAGATGATAAAAGGCTGGATCATACACAAGCAAACTGCCTTTGCGCCACAAGTAGTTTTTTCTGGAACACACTCATTCCACAACCCAGCACTGGAGCCTTCCCGTTCCCATTGCCCTCGCCCATCTTCCGAATGGCCTAAGAGCAGAACCATCACAAAATATAAGCAAACTTGTGCCCAAGCAAAGACTTCCAAGAAGAAACCAAGGAGTATGTGGCAAGGAACCCCTATTTCTCTGCACCCGTGTCTCTAATTCTTTTTTACAAAGTGGCTCTCCATGATTTATATGGTTTTAAATTGTTTTTTATAGCTTGCCTCAGGACGGCCCCGCCAATAAAGTAGCAGCACTCATGGTTCCTGTCGAAACTCTTAGTTGAAAAACTTTTCAAAATTCAAAAGACTGAGTCCAACATAGTCCAACAAAGTACGCCGCAGTTACGGGAAATTACGCCGGAGTTACGGGAAATTACGCCGGAGTTACGGGAAAAAACGCCGGAGTTACGACGTGCAATTTTTCTTAGCAACTCTCTGCAAAACATTGAGATTCCGAACAACACATGTTCCACAGCCCAAAACTTGTCCGGCAGGCTCTGCAAACCTGCGCAACTAGAACTAATTATATCCCAGCGCCCCGACATCCTGAAACAGTGGGAGTACATCTTTGCCTATGTTCTTTCAGCTTAGGTACTCCCACTTGGGTCTTTCAACACGTGCATCGCACTGTACCAATTTCATCCGATTTCACTTAGAAGATCACCTAAACGGATCTGATTGATCCAGTGTGAACCATGCTGAAACCGGTGGAATGAGAAAACAGCGGAACAGGCAAATGAGCACACTTTGCAAGCAAATCATTACCTTCAAAGAAATGCAAGCCACAAAGAATGCAAAGCCTTGAGAATCCACATTTCAAGTGACTTGGAAAAACCGCCGGACCAAATCCAGAAAAACGCCGGAGTTGGAAGTCCGGCGCCGGACCCTGTAAAAGTGCCGGACTGAAGATCTAGGTATATTATTCTGCTCAGCTCAGCTCAACCTCAGAATCACCGTCTTCGAGGCCAATGAGAATGCGGATTTCTGCACCAAAGAACACCAATCCCACACTCTCGCAAACCCAAAACTCAGAACCACCCAAAAAAAACATCAGACAACCAGAAAGAAATGGATGTTTTCCCAAACAGCCATTTCCTAAGAAAAAGGTTCCAGGCACCACCAAAAAAAAGCAACTGGCCCATCGACCATCCCGATCCCTGCGCGTCAAAAACACCGCCCCTCCAAAATAGAACACCCTCGACTCTCCCCCGCCATTTTGCCAGGACCCTCACTGCAATGGTCTTTAGTTGAGGGTTGTTAGTTGGTCTCACTTGACCGAGTTGGGTAGAACAAAACCCCTGACGCCCGTGCAAAACGTGCAAACCCCGGAAATCCGGGCCTCGCGGATCTCTTTGGCTGAGGACTTCGGGGACACCTTCAAGGTCTCGTAGTGCGCCATGCCATGCACGGACAAATCCAACAAAACAAGTCGACCTGCCTGCCATACACGGAGCCACCTGCCTGCCTGCTCTCGTGGTGGGGGCACGGGTGGTTCCTTTTTTCTCTCGGGTTGGTTGAACACCATATTGCGACTCAGACTCACCGACCGCTGAATCTTCCAACTACGAAAATAAACTCGAAAAAACACATCTGCTTGGCTGGAATTTGGCTGGTGTTTGAGATGAAAAGGCAGACATGTTGCACGATTGGATCCAAGGTATGTTGAGACTGTTTGGAAGAGTTTAGTCGCATCGAATTCCACGACAAATGGCCAAACGCACGGGCACTTGGAGCTCTTTCGAAACAGGGAGTTTAGCGCTTCTTCGGGCGCTTCGAGCTCGGCGGCGCAGGCGGTGGACCAAGCGAAAAGCACACCCAGCTCCGTCACCGAGCACTGTAGCGCCTTCGAATACAACTTGTAGCACCTTGAAGCACTTGGATGCTTCCCCCAACAGCCAGTTCCTTTGATAAAGGATCTCAAGTGCCGAAATGCCACCAAGATCCACCAATGATTTCGGGTTGCTTGGGTTTCCAGGTAATTGTAGGTAGCTCTTGGATGGTTTTGAATGGTTGTTGCTGGCGACTCATGTCGTTTCAGCGGTCTTTCTGCTAACTGTTTCCCTTGGGTCTGCCTCATCCCATTGCGGACCTTGTGGTTTGTGTAAACGTATTTTCCAAAAAATGAAGAACAAAGACAACAGGGTCTCGGAAAACAGCGAAGGTGGCACAAGGAACATCATCGTCTATCTTGTCTCAGTCTATTTGGTCATACAGCATGGCTGTTTTTCTCAGGGATGTCAACCTCCCAAGGGTTTGTATATGGTGAGGTTTTGCCCCCTCCACGTATATTTTGGGAGCAAGTAAGTCGAAAGCGTTTCGCGCGTTTCACGCGTTTCTCGCGCAAACGCGAGATCTGAGCTGGCGGCTCGTCCAGTGACCGGCTGAACCAATACTCCAAGTCCTCTGAAGAATGAAATGGAAGTGGATGGCATGGCATTGGAAGACAATGAAATTCTTCAGACCATCGCATGGTTGCGTGAACTTTGGTTTCCAAGGACCCAGGGAAAGAAAAGTAAAGAAAAGAGGAAAAGAAAGAACGGATCAAAGTCACCTCTTTGGCAACCACATGGCCGAAAAAGCACGAAGCCACCCTGATCCTCCGTTGAAGGAAATGATTCCATCTCAGATACGTAACTGGTCAAGAGCCAAGATCGAACAGGTTTGTGCTCCACAACACTCAGAGAAGGAGAAAGACTGGCAGCGCGGGGTGAGCTTTCTCGCGTGGCAGCCCGGGGCACCCGCCTGTCGTTTGGCGGTGGCAATCGCCTGCGGTGGGGGGCTTTTTCGGTGTGGACCACCCTCGAACCCCTGAGAAATGGAGGTGGTCAGTTTTCACAATCATAAAAGACCATGCTAGAGAAAGCATGGGAAAACCAGGTCTTTGATGGTTTGTAGGGGTTTTGTGGGAAGGGTTGCCACACATGTCCGGCGTTGACATGTTTACAGCGTCGAGTGCACGTTGCAGCGTCGCTCCAACAGGATCGTTGATGCAAACGGATGCTCGTGGAGGCCTTCCCAGCACCCAAAACACGGACCATGAGATATCATCCGAGCATTTCCAGGGCATCTGTTCGAATCTGTTTGAAGGGTTCCACTGTTCCACGAGTCAGCAAGAAGCACTGGATTCACCAAACTCCAAACACCCGAAACTGCTTCTCCTTCTCTGATTTCACCGGTGCAGCCGCAGTGCAGCCATTGTAGTCATGCGCCAGCCCATGGACGCCAATGACCCTGCGCGCCGCCTCCCCCCCTAAAAATCCAACGCATCATGGGCCAACCCGAAATTAAATCACCTCCCCTTAAGGTCGCTGGACCTGGCGCCCCGATCTGCGCTGCCCCATCACGATGGCAGAGATCGGCCTCCCAGATCTTGGGGACCAATGTCATGATGACATAGAAGTCCAAGCCATTCTGCCGAACCAACAAACACACGCGTCAACTCGAGTCGTCGAGTGCGCTCCAGTGCGCTGCCATCCCCCCGAAATTGGCCGGTATGTCCAACGAAATATATGATGGATGTGCGTGACAAATCTCACCTCTGAGTTGTAGAGAAAAATGGTCGAAACCACCGGTGAATTCTCAGATTCCATGTTGGTTTGCGGGAGGAAATCATCCAACCTGAGGTGGGCCAGTTCAGGAGTCCAGTTGCGGGAGTTCTGGGAAAACGGAAGTTCACCACCCGCGTCCGCGGGTCAACCATCAACTCACCCGTCCATGGGAAGGGCGCCAAGAAAATCAACAAGTCTATAGGCACGATCAAGAAAGAGCTGTTCAAGAACTATCCGAAACCCTCAAACTGTAGCATGCTTCCTATTGTAGGAATTGCTGGCATTTATCCTTCCGAAGCCTTTCTCGCAGTGGTTCTTGGACTCTGCAAAGAAACAGCCTCTCTGCGCCACCCCCACGTCTTTGAGCTTCTTGGAACCCATCAAACACTGAAGCATAGCGAGATGCTATGGTCCATCTCACATGTCTTTTTGGCTTTTCTGAAGAAACTGCTCCATAAGCCGAACCCGCTCCCAGTCAGCACTCCTCCTGGTACTGCACTGGTTGAGCACTCATTAGCACCTCTGTCACTGCGCGCTTTTCCTCGGACCGCTGGCCCGCTGGCGACTCCCAAAGTGTCTTCCATCAGCTGAAGACTTGGAACACCATGCAATCATGCAATGATAAGAATGATCTGGAGGCCATCGCTTCTAGGGTGGAGGCCATCGCTTCTGGGGTGTACACCATCAAAACCGGGATACCTATGAGATACCTTGGTTGTACCCCAATTGAGCACAATAGACTGGGGAGGTCGTTCGCTACAATGGTGGACCAGGGCTCCAAGTATTCATCCCCAGGATCAATGATCCCTCCTGTGGCGATCCCATCGTCCTCTCATCATACCCAAAAGGATCCTGAAATGTTCAAGAACGACTCCCTGAAATCATGGAAGCAGAGTTCAACCGCCTGCTTGGTATTTGGGAGCTAGGGTCCTCCGAAATCGGGGCAATGCCATCCACGTAACACCACTTCCATCCTTCTTTCAGGGCGATTTCAGGGAATTTCACAGACTGAACTAACTTGGGAAAAAACAACACGCCAATGACATCAATTAGTTTCACATTCCCAGTCTTCCCTCTTCGTCTCCCGTTCAAAAAGCACCCCAACCGGATCAACCACCGGATCGACTTCTTCTCGGTCCCTGGGTCTCCCTGCCGGAGGAAGACTCGGATGGATGCCGATATCTGCCAAACAGCTTCTCACATCCTTCATGCAAAGGATGCCTGGCAAGAGGAAAGACCGCAAGTGACAAGTGGAAAAATCATGAAAAAACACATCTCCCACAAGTGATGGATGATGAATTCACTGAGCAAGAACTGAAACGGCATCCTGGAACAAATGGTCATGTGAATTCATCGGCCTGGTCTCGTGAACCCCAGAATCGGCCCGGTCGTAGATGATTGACCCAATCGCAGGGAGTGGGGTGTCGACGGAAGTGGATAAGGTCTGTGGGGTCCAAACTCCCCTTTGGCTTGGAGAGACCCCATACTCCAAATGAATGCGACCGGAAACTACCGTTGAATAGTGTTGATAGAAATCCCGCATCCTGCAACACGTTTGATGATGTAAAACTTAAGAGAATGTTTAAACCATCGAACGGACAAAACGGTGAATCCTGTGGGATGTCATGATGTTATCCTTCCTCAGAAAAAAGAAGCTGCCACATCGCATCCACGAAGGTTGCTCTCTTTCAGTTGCCTCTCAATTCTTTCAGCTGCGCAGCATGTTGGTAACATCGTCTTCCAAAGGGCATCCAGGTACGTCACGAGTCGTTTCCTCGCGAACGTCTAAGCGGCCGACTCAAACGGCGGCCCCCGATCGACGCTGATGGCCCCACCTTCTTCCAGCCGATCGTAACGTCGGAAGGCTTCCAACAACAGCTGGCCCTTCCGAAACGCCACGCTTCGACGGGTCGGGCGCCAAAGGACCATTGAGCGAGGTTTGAAACCGTTGAAACGGGAGCTTCGGGGTCCCAGTTGGGCGGTCCAAGCGATTAAAACGGGAAATCAGGGCCCGATGTGGCCGGAGATTTTGGGGTTTCTCGAGTCGCTCCGAGTCGAAAGGTCACTCTCCAGGACTCGAACTCGTGGCTTTTCCGCGGGCTTGACTTGGATAAACACGGTTTGTTGCTCAAAGTGGAACGGGATTGATGGGAAGACACATTGGCAATTGCTTGGGCCCCCAAAAGCATCTTCTCATCATATGTGCCAGAACTAAAAGAGTCAAGGAGAGGGTAAAACCTTCTGAGATCATATTACGTCATTAGAGTCGCTGACTGGCTGTGAAGTGGTCATGGTCTGTTGCTGCTGCGCCCTTCACGAAGCTCTATGTATGTATACAGTAGACAAAAGTCGTCAGTCTGGCTGGGTCTGGCTCCTCAACATCCATGAGATATCATAAGATTCTACAAGGCCATAATTACACGCTTCATCAAGCTTCAAGTGTGTTTTCAATCGAAACAAACAAAAACGACGACGACGACGACGACGACGACGACGACGACCACCACCACCACCACCACCACGACCACCACCACCATGACGACCACCACCCCCACCACAACAACAACAACAACGCCACTCGCAGCACCACGTGCGGCCGCTCCACTGCTCCCACTCTGGGCATCTCACCTCTGCCGAGTCCGCTTGCTCCGGCGGCTTCCGTACGACGAGCCCCGCCCGGCGCCCGTGGCCGGGCCCGGGCGCGTCGGTGGCGGACTCATCGCTGCTGTCCTCGCCGGAGAGACGGTTTGTTTGGAAGACCGGCAGGTGGATTGAGGTTGACGCGACGTGTGTGTATTGGACGGGATTGGACCGGACGTGTGTGAACTGGTGGCGTTTTTGGTGCGATGGTTTCGGTGAGCATCCCTGGCGTGGCTGACGCAGGTTCACAGGTGGCAGTGATGACATCATAAGCACCGCACAAAATCACCCAGATGCAGAACAACTCCCAGCAGTTGCTGGATCCAACAACTCCCAATACCTGAATCTTCCAAGAAAATGCTAACACATGATGCCAACCTTGGCTGGTATAGATGAATTTTGTTGGAAATGTTGCACAGTTGGAAGATCCAGGTATTGCGTAAAGGGCATTAAAAGGCCCAACACCTTCTCTTGCAGAGATGATCCATGACCGGACTGTCAGCATAGCTCCTCTTATGCGAGACACTCGCAAGCTGGGTCGGCTGAGTTGGGACCAGCGGGATGACGCTTTATGGGGGGGAAAAAAGTTGCATCAGCAAAAGCTCAAATGCCTTCAGCTTTGACAGAACCAGTTCCATTAGGGGGGGTGGACCTGAAAAAAGGGTTGCACCTGCTTTTCCTCCGGTCATTCCGAGTCGGCTCGAAAAAGCAAAACTCGATATCAACATGACCTGCAAGAAGCAGCACCCACCTGGAGTTGACCTGTTCGTACCTCGGAAAATGGATCTACTGTTTTGGGTTGGGGTCCTGTCCTTTTTTCCAGGGTAGTTAACTTGAAGTCGGGTCCAGGTATAGTAACATGTCGCAAGAAGGTGTCGGGTTCGCAACATGTGAACGCCAAAGAAAACGCAAAAATGGTCTGCCAAAATTCATCTCAATCCACCAGATGGTTGGAGAATCCGGTCAATCGGTTGCCCGGTCTGCTGATACGGACTGCTGATAGGACTGGGGAGAGTCGGAGTCGACTTGACTAGTCCTATGTGGTGTATCTTCTAGTCCTATCGGTTGTGTCTGGCGGATTGAGAGATTTGATGGCAGAATCCCCAAGTCAGGAGTTCCTTTTTGGGCACCAGGAGACTCACCGCTTGACGGTTGACCCAGGCCCATTAGTCAAAAAGGTGTCTGTCATGCCACTGCCAGCTTCTTCAGATCGAACCCAGAAACCTCCCCTTCCGCCTCTGCCAGCTTTCGCGCACCTTTTTCACGAGCCCCAACCAGCGCCGACGGTTCAGGCAAACCCGAGGTGTTGGGGCCCACCGATTTAGGAGACCCAATCCTGAAAGCACCCCAGTTTGACCCTCAGACTCCGGGCCCGAAGCAGGATTTGGCCACCGGGTCCGGATTCCTGCGAAGACTAGAGGGAGAAAGTCCGACCTCTAGCGTTGAGCGGTCAAGGAGGAAGGTTCTTTAGACTCCAAAACCAGGGTCGGACTCCTGAACTGTCTAATGGTCGGACTTTGGTCGAACGGCATGCCCAACGGCATGCCAAGCTCCATTGATCGCCACGCTCAAGCTTGATCGCCATGCCATGCTCCTGCGCGCGGAAGTGTGACGAGTTTCGAGTTAGCACATGCTGCAAATCTGAAAAAATTGAGGAGGACTGGGGCCTAAAGACTTCAGGCATGGTTGTTCTTTTGAAAACTGTCAAGGTAAATGTTGAAAGGCATGGGATGCAGGATGCAATTTGGAACAGCTTCATCCCAGGCAAAACAAAGACCTTTGAGTCACGAAACACTCAAGTTAGGCCTGAAGGATCCTGAAAGAACATTGAAACTCTCTCCTGCAAGAGGAAGCCAAGTCCGGAACAAGCTTAGTCCCTCCCAGCAGCCGACGGCTTTTGAGCAGGTTTCCCAGTTATCTGTGGGTCATGGCACCCGCAGCCCGGTTGATCCCTGGTACGTCGACCTGCCACGTAGTCTATTCTGTTCGATCGAGCAGGCTTTCCCAGTGCCAAGACCCACAGCCAACGTGAGTGAAAAGCACCTCTTTGTACAGAAAAATGGGCGCCGAAAACCCGACGGCCGCGGAAAACCCGGTCGTTTGGCTGCCATCCACGAGCTTGCATGATGATTTCTAGGAGACGGAGATCTTCCATAATATCTTCCAATCCCCTAGCGTGTCCCCAAGAAAAAACTCCCCAATCCCTTCTCAAGCGCTAGCTTT